GTCGGGCGTGGCTCCCCCGGCACGTGACCGGGCTTGCGGTGAAGGGGCGGGGTGACCGGCTGCGGGGCCCGCGTCACGTGAGGGTGGAGAGCGGACGGCCGTTGGCAGCCGCGGGTGGGTCACGTGGGGGCGCCGTGGCGCCGCCCCCTTCCGCGCGGAGGTCCGAATCTTGTCCCGCGCGCGCTTTTCTGCCCGCCTGCCTCCCGCTCCTGTCAGGCGGCGGCGGCGGCCATCGGGCGGGCCCGCTCCATGGCGATAGGGCGAGCCTCCCCCCGCGGCTGAGGGCTCCGCTCCCCGCCAGCGTCCGGGGCATGGTGGGCAGGGTCGCCGTGGCCGCGGCGGCCGCCTCCCTCCCCGGGAAAGACGGCGACGCTCAGGTGGGGACGCGGAGGCGGGCCGGGGGGGCCGCGCCGTGAGGGCGGAGCGGGGGGGCTGGCGGCGGTCTTGGCGGGGCGGCCTGGGCGGAGGGCGACCCTTTGTCGTCGGCGCTTGACACAGAGCGTCTGGGGTGTGTGGGATGGGGACGACGGGAAACGCCGCCTGGACGCTGCGAGGCGGCTGCCGTGCCCGGTGCCCGGTACCCGGCTCCGCGCCCTCGCTCGCAGCCCGGCGGTCGGCGCTCGGGAGCGCCGCGCAGCCCGCGGCCCAAAGCTGTCATGAGACGCCTTCTTGAAGGGGCACCTCAGCGGAGTCCCCGGTAGCTTTGGGAAGATCCGTTCTCCGTCTCAGAGGATGCGATTTCGGAAGAGTTCGGTTTTCAATAAACTAGGAGAGTTATGAAAGTCTTTGTGAGCCGTCTTTCTTGGGGTCGTGGAAATAAATGCTCTTTTACGGTTCGGATCATGATACGAGTTCTCTTGTATTTGTTTTCTCAAGTATTTTTAAAGGTATGCTTTCTTCTTAAGACGAGTTAGATGTTTACGGTAGGATCGTATATCTTTAAGTGATGTAGGAATTTTCTGTTAAGCGCTCTACAAATGCTCAGGCGAACATCTCAAGGTAACCAATAGGTAGAGATCATCTGAATTGAAGTAGACTTTCTCAACTCCAGTATTACGAAATGTCTGCACAGCTGTTCCAAAGACCTTGTGGTCACTTTCCGTTTTGGCGGTCTCAAAGTTTCAGAACAGGATTTTTATTTATTTGAAATGGCTGAATCTTTATTTCAAGCTTAGAGGGCTTTTGAAAACATAAAGTTGATGTGCACACAGTCTTAGTGCATTGGCGTGAGTTTTTTATCCTCTGAAAAAGTACTGGTGTCACTAATACATACTGCAGATACTGTACTTTGTTACATTACCATACTAAGTCATCTTAAGTTTTTGAAAACTGTGATTAATGTTGAACTTTTTTATAGCCATGCAAGAAACGGCGAGAGGAGGATACTTCTGTAAAAACAATCACAAGATACTTTTCACCATTAGCAAAACCAGTGGACAAAGTGCTGTCACCACCAAAACCCAACAATATACTGGATTATTTTAAAAAGACATCTGTAACTGAGAAAGCTACATTACCAGTTTTAGCTGGAGAAAATAAAACACCATTGGATGCTGATGACAAAGACTGTAAGTCACCTTTTAAACCACTTTTAAAGCGGAAGAGGAAAGGGAAGAAAGCTAATTTAAATAATAAGCTGAGAGAGATGAAAGGATCTGAGAATGAGCATGAAATAGAAATTAGTCGTGATGACAGCAGAGAAACAACAGGACTGAAACAACACAGTAACGATTTTATTGCTACTTGTACTTTAGTTGACCAAAAATGTGCAAGAGAATCAGCAGAAGGTGATATACAAAGTGAGAACTTCTCAGATGCTGTCATCTGCAGAAAAAATGCAAAGAAAGTTGGTTCTGAAATAAATGGAACAAAAAATAGGATAAGAAAATCAAGGAAAAGGAAGCATAAAGTAGATATGGATTTGTCTGAAAGTTTTTCAGCTGAAAAGGAGCTGAATGAGAAGTGTAAAAAGGAAAATGAAGATAAGAAAAAGATGGTATCTCCTACAATAGCAGAGTGTGACGCTACTATTAGTGATTCCAGTTTTGCAGTTCATACGGATGATATGACATCACAGGTAAATAATAGTATAATAACAGTGTCATTTGAGGACTTCTTGAAGAGTCAGGGAGAAGATAATGTAGATCATGTTGAAGAAGACACAAAGCCAACAATGGATAATTCTGCTACAGCAAATGAAACTGACAAAAGTGATAGTATTAGTGACCCAGAAAAGTGTGAGGAATCTCAACAGCTACCACTTAGAACAGTAACTGTCCTTGCCCAAGTTCATTCCATTCCCCCCAAATTAGCTCCATTACGTAAGGAGCAAAAAGGGTCTAGGAAAATAGCTTCCATTTTTTTGAAGCAGAAGGGATGTGTAGGGGAAAAAGAAAGTAGCCCACCCCTCTTGGACAATGAACAAACTGAACAGGTTACTCAGAAAAGAAAATCTAATGTAGTTATTGAGGAAGAAGAATTGGAGTTAGCTGTACTAGAGACTGCAGGGTCAGATTCTTTGAAGCCAAAATGTACTCTGGAAGAAAGGCATCAGTTTATGAAGGCGTTTAGACAACCAACATCACATGTAATAAAAAGTGGAGTTAAAAAGGGTCCTGGAAAACAAAAGCAAGATATTGGAAAGTCTTCAAAAGAAAAAGAAAGACCTGAAGATGACATTGCTTCAAATAAAGGATTAGGAAGTGGAGTACCAGAAGATTATGTGGAGAAATATACATGTTCTGGTCCTGAAAGCAATAGAACTAAAACCAAAAGACCTAAAAAGTTTCAGAAAAAAGGAAACAGAAGAAGGAAAGCTTCAGAAACTAAAGAAAAGAATGTCCCGAATACTAGCAATTATAATGAAGATGAGGATTCAGGAGCTAATGTCCTTACTAAGGAAAACACCTTAGATGTAAGGATTTCATCAAGTCCAAAAGTGAATGAGTTAAGGAGGAGTTTAAGGCAGAAGAAAATCAAAACATCAGAAAATGTTACACCTAAAAAAAACAGGATTAGAAATACCTTCTCTGAAGATGAATTAAGTGGCTGTCCTTTACAGACGTCTACACCAAAAGTAAGCAAGCGATCCTTGAAGAAAAGTAACGTGTATAAAGCTGAGGTGATTACCATGCCCTTTGATGGAAACAGCCCAATAAGGTAAACATTTTAGAGTATATTCTACCTTTTTGCAGTTTGATTTCTTCCAAGTATTTTAAGAGTAAGACATAATTCGATTGGAATGCATACCAAAACTGCATGAATACTGATCATGGTGGGTAATAATACAGAAGAACCAAAGTTGACTCTATAAATGTGCTTGCACTGAAGACATTTAAAAAAAAATCCCAAACAACAAAAAAACCCCAAACAACCACCAATTAGGAGGGTTGCTACTGTTTGCAGCAGCACTGTATTTTTAAAAGCTTTTGAAAATGAGATTGAGAGTAACATTTCCCTTTATGATAAAGTAATAATTTCATAATACTTTTTTCCCTAATTAGAATGAGGTTTACACGTATCAGTGCGACTACAAAATCAAATAAAGCTGAAATGATGAAAAATGAAGAGTTTAACTCCAAAAATATAAAGGTAATCTATGTAACAGTTTATGTTTCGGTATTTGTCATTTACTATATGCTTATAATTGTGTTAATATTCAGTATTGTGTAACAGTCTAATGTAATACAGTAAGACAGTTCTCACGTGCCCTATGGAAAGATACTATTGCTGTGATTTATGATAGCGTTTGAGATAGTTTCTAGTACAGTTACTGTACCTTAGATTTTAAAATATGTTTTATTAGTGTAAATCTGCTTTTCATAACTTAACAGAAAAATCCAATAAAATAGTATGCTCATATTCTGCAGGTTCTCAGGATGGGACCTAGTGTTTGGGCACAGCAGAACAGCTTGGGCTTAAGAACGTCACTGCCCATATTTCATTTGTTCTGTGGACAAATTGGAGGATCCCCTTCTAGGGCTCTCACTCCCTTTTGAAAAGTATTTATATCATCTTGGTTTGCTCCTCTTTCCCAAGCTTTCATTTTCTTTTTGATACAAGTAAAATTTTATAAAAATCATATGCTTTTATGAATGTGAAAAATTATATTAATATGTGAAATACTTACCAAATATATTGCTGTTAACTGCCAGGTATTTTGGTTCTTTTGTACTTTGTTAACAGATAAGCTCTACTTCTAAAAATATATCCAAAGCGAAACAGCTGATTGAAAAAGCAAAGGCTATACGGCATAATAGATCAAAGGTTAATGAAGACTTACCAACTCCTGTGAGGCGCTCATCTCGACAGCAAGCTCTTGCTGAAAAGAAAAAATTACAAGAAAATGAAGTAAGCCTGTATACTTGGGGGGGGATTATTTTGATGTTTTTGTGATTCATTTAAGCAACAAAAATATTTCTTGCCTTGCAAACGTTTTTTTTAAAGAATCAAATAAGGTAGGTATCTATGCAGTGGTATGGTAAATGTCAAATAGTAAAGTAACTGCCAGGCATAGCCTGGAAAGCTGATCCTAATGCAGATCTATAACATGCACCAGATGGTCACACTTTAGAAATGACTCTTTCTCTTTCCTAATGGACAGTCAAGGTGTCTGTCTGTTTCAAATGTGTATATTTTAGACATTTAAATTTAAATGAGAGTAATTCTGGCCTTTGTTTATATATTGGAGATCTTATTCTATATACTTTTTCTGTGTAAACAGTAATAGAAGTATTGTATAATCTTCAAATTATATTTGCTAACTTCTAAGCTTTCTAGCAGTTTCTTCAGTTTTCTCAGTACTGATCACTAAATTGTATTGTTAATAAAGGAGGAAAAGTTGTTGTTTCCTTTCTTATATTATTTGCTTGCTTTCTAGGAATCGGTAGTAATTTTAGATTCAAGCCTGACTAATACCACTGCTACAGTGCAGAATGTGAAGCAAAAGAATCTTCGGAGCTTAAACGATGTTTTGGGGAAAAAGTCTAGAAACTCGAAAGCTGTGAAGAACTCAAACGGTAATTGGGTTTTACTGGACGTGTTTAATTTTTATTACAGTTATTGACTATTATAACTATTTTATAAAGCTGTCTTTGCAGTACATTCATCTTTTCTTCTGATGTTTTTATATAATGTTCCAATATATACCTTTTATTTTTATGACATGAGTTAATAGTGCAGAGGTTATTTACACGTGCTGCTTTGATTTTTCTTCATTCAGGGAAAACTGTTTGTTTGAATAACAGCCAATTGTACATCATCTTTTGTTGTGTTCTAATTTAAGGTGGGGTTTTTTAATGTTACAGAGAATAA